TATTACAAATATATCCAGAAGGAGATAGACCTGTTGCATATATTTCCAAGAAATTTACTCAAGCACAACGTAAATGGTCTCCGATGGAACAAGAATGTTATGCTTTTATTTGTGCATTAGATAAATGGCATAATTATTTAAGTGGAATTAAATTCGCATGGAAAACTGATCATAAAGCATTAACACAATTAAATCAAAAAGCTCAAGTTAATAAACGATGTGAAAGATGGGGATTAAAAATCTTAGAATATGATTTCAAGGTGAAATACATTCCAGGTTTAACAAATTCCACGCCTGATTATTTATCAAGATCTCCAGTAGACGATGCTGAAGAAGATCCTGATGAAACTACACATCTTATTTCAAAATCAACACAAACCGATATTTTATATGATAACATCCATTCACCCATCATCACAGCTGTTGAAACTCGTGCTATGAAATTACGAAATCAAACTTTAAATGATACAAATGATAATAAAAAATTACAATCAGATTCTCTAAATACTTCCATTGAAGAGAATCGAATTATTCCATTTTCAATTGAAGACTTAATACAAGCTCAACAAAATGATAATTATGCAAAAAATATTCTAAACAACATCAAGAAATATAAAAATTATATTATAAAAAATAATCTTTTAATGCATCGATCCAAACCTCTAGTTCCCTATGTACCACAAGGTGATCTTCGAAAAACAATCTTACAAATTTATCATGATACTGCAGCAAATGGTGCTCATTTCGGAAGAGATAAAACAATACATAAAATTAAACAACGTTATTTTTGGCCATCAATGTACAAAGATATTAATAATTATGTTAAATCATGTATACCTTGTGCTCAGTCTAATCCTCGTCGACAAAATAATCCTGGTAAATTACGACCAATTCAACCTCCAGAAGGGGTATGGCAACTAGTATCTATGGATTTCCACGGTCCTATCAATCCAACATCTCGTCGTGGAAATAAATATATTATATGTCTTACTGACATCTTATCAAAATTTGTGGTGACAAAGGCAGTACGTGATAATTCGGCTCAAACAGCTGCTAAATTTCTTAAAGAAGATATTATTTCAAAATTCGGTACCCCTCGATGTATTTTGACCGATAATGGCACTCACTTTACATCAACAATTATGAATGAATTAATTAAACAAATTGGATCAACACATTTATATACAACACTATATCATCCCCAATCGAATGGTCAAGTTGAACGATTCAATTCGACAATGGATGCAAAAATTTCTGCACTATCAAATCTACAAAAAACAGATTGGGATGATCAGCTACCCTTTGTAACATTCAATTATAATACAACAATCCATGCTTCAACCAAGCAAATTCCATTTGAAATGATGTACGGTCGAACGCCTATATTACCACTGGATTATCAAGATAACAACGTTACATTATCATATGATCCTGAACATTCGAAAAAATTAAACCAATTTCTAGCAAAAGTAAATGAACAAGCCAAACAAAATATTATTAAAAATCAAGCACGTTATAAAGAACGTTATGATAGAAATCGTTCTGATCCATCTTATCAAATTGGCGATCTTGTCCTCGTTAAAACGCTTAATATTCGTCACAAGTTCGATATTCGTTATGAAGGGCCATTTCGAATAATTAGAAAACTCACATCAAAAACATTCATCATACAACACATAAAAAAACCCACATTATATCGTCAAGTTACAACTGATGTGTTACTCTCAATTTTCGAACGTATTCATTAAAATCAGGACCTCTTTATTTAAGAGATCCGCATTCATTTATTTACTAATATGTCAACTCCGTGGAATACGTAATTATCATTGGAATTACCTCATTTTATATAATTTAGCATAGCAAGGTTGGGGAGTTGGACTTTCCCCATTCACTGACCATGAAGGGCTATTATATTAAAAAATTGGGTGCTTCTTCTTATATTTTATTATTCTATTATACGGAATAAGACTTGAGTATTTCTAATATTCGTTTATTCTTCTAGATTCTCATCTGGCCATTGGGAATCGAAAAGAACCATTATTTTGTACATAAATTATATTGACATACAGACAAATGAATGACAAATAGTAGGACACCTTCATCCTGATTATTTTATGGTTGATATATATATATATATATAAATCTTCTTCAAAAAAAAGACAAATATAAAATAAATAAATAAATAAATCAAATCCTTAATGATTGTAGATTCTTTTTTTTTTGAAGAATCGATAATTATGGTCACGTATTTTTATTGTAGAAATGCTATCACAAGATGAATATCAAAAAATAAAATGGCAACTAAAAAACATTCCAACTAAATTAACAACCCAACAACAAAACAATCTTCGTAAACGTCTTCTGAAAAAATTACACGAACATGAACTAGTTGCCGAATATCCACCATTCCAACCCTTACCTTACATACAATTCTTCATTAATTATGCGACACATGAATTAACATTACTTCATTTAATTGAATCTACACAATGTTCGAAAAAAGTTATTTTAGATACAGAATCTATCATTATTCCCCACCAACCTAATAAACCAGCCCTTATTCAACTTCAATTGATATTACCAACATCATATTCGTATATGATATTTGTAGAAGTTTGGCATTTACCACCTGAACATGATACAACATTTGATTTAATTAAATTATTTTTTACTACGTTATTTAATCATGAAAAAACAATTTACATCTGGGGAACAGTTAAAGAATTAATACCCTTCGTTAAATTTAAATTATTTTCAACTGAAAAAATCTATTTTCCGAAGAATGTAAATTGTCAAGATGAATTTAAAAAATATTGGCAAAAAAATTATCCACATAAATCTACTTCGAATACATCAAATGAAGATTCACAATGTAAATGTGAATCGTGTCTGGGTATAAACCCAAACGATGTATGGTCCTTACAGAACGCTACGGCTTACAAATTACATGTGTATTTAAATAAAAGTCTTACTATATCGCAATTTAATATTGGACTTGATTCACAATTAAAACACTTAAATGATAAAGAAATTAAACATCGACAACAAATAATCAATTATGCAGCTAATGACTGTCTTTCATTATATCAACTTCTTTTAGAATTAGATTATTTTCATCAGGAACAATCGTCAAAATCTTTATCAACTTATCAATCACAAAAAAACATTTCAAATTATTCACGTTAAATATCTTCACTCTCATCTAGTGATGATGATATGATTATACCTATAGAATGTGATACATCATCAACAAATCGAAATGTTTATTTTATTGAAGCATGTCCAACAATAGTAAATGGTCCAACTCAACCACCACTGTCAATTACGTCAAACACATCAAACAAATCAAAACATGAAAAAGAATTATCAATTGAAGAACGTAAAAAAATTCATAATAGGAGGTGCACGTTAAAACAAAGAAAAAGATATTACCATCACAAAATTACAAGAAAAAATATCGATAAACGTTTTACTATTAAACAAATAAAAAACGTCTTAAAACAACATGATATACCAATTACAGCTGTAAATGTTTTACGTTTACCATTTACAAATGAAAAAAACATTAGTTATCGGATTAAAAGACATCGTCAAATGTTCAACATATGACGATATAGTCGCCGATTTATTTACAAACCAACATTATGAACAATTTCGACATAACAAATACAAATCTCGACCATCACCTCGTCGTCATTTAAATCCTTATCATTTCTAACAGGAAAAAATATAAAAAAAAAAAAAAAAATGATTACGACTTTTGTTTACCCTTTCGTTGTTATTAAGTACACATGATGAAAGCCATATATATTGACTTATCGATTGTATAACAATCATTTTCTATATTTTGTTTATTATTATTTTTTTTTTTTTTATGTTTGAACATTCACCTCTGGTGAAATAAACCATTTTTCTTTGTTATTTGTCAGTTATTCGTTGTTATATATATGACTTTGCGTTATTTTTCTTTATTCTATTGTTTCTGTTTTTGGTTATATTTGAAAATGTTGATATGTCACATTTTTTCTTCTAATGGGGAGTATGTTATAGTGGATGTCGCCCATCTACAGCTCATCTATTGATCTATATCTATTGTCGTTTATATATTTCTTTCTCATCGATATCTAGTCTCTCCTTTCTTTCGTTTCTTTCTGTATTCCATATATTCAGATGTATTCAGTGCATTTAGATATAGAATAAAAAGAGAGCGAAGAACACGGTTAGTGTTCGCGCATAAAACGAACGCTAATACAACTGGACTAATTCTCATAACTGTCAAAATCAATCTTTTTACCTGAGGAGAAAAACAGCTGTCTTTTTTATTGCCAAGATTTCTCCTTAATGTGATGTATCGTACATTTGAATCTTTCAATTAGTTTTTCTTTTTTTGCTTTAACTGTTCTCCAATTTGCAATATAGAACATGAACCAGCTTATATAATGAGTTACCTCGAGTTCAAATCTAGATTATTCATATATATATCAATAGTCTTCGAACTACTGCTGTATCCTTTTTTTTTATGCCCGAAACTAGGCGAAATAATATTTACAATTTCGTAAAAGCGTTCGTCCTCATTCAAGCATATACTTTTATCAACCAATATTAGACAATAATGCAGCCTAATCTTATTTCTTCAAACTATACATTTAATTTATTATTGACGGACTTTTAACTAAATAGCTACATATATTCTTGTTAGAAAAACGTTCTATAAAGAGCATTTACATACGATAGAATGACAACAAAAAAAGAAAAGACATAAATTTATGACATAACATCAATACCTATTGCAAATGTGAGACAACAGATTACAAGATGCATGATATAACTTTAAAAGAAAAATAATAAAAAGCGGGCTTGAAAACAAAACAAGGCGAGATTATTTTGATGTATGTAGATTGATTATATAAAGAAGAGACTAGGCTTGATTAGTTGATATACAATGCTTAAAGTATTCAAATGTAAAAGAAATCGTAGTATTGCTATCGATAAATTTAAAATAAATTTAATCTGAATAGATGATACGTAATGTGTTTGTAGTTCCATAACCAGGACGCTAAAAAGAATAACTATGAATAAAAGCTATTTATCAATTAAAGTATTCCTTACCCATCCCGTTAGAACAATAACTGCATCACCAGTTGAAACAATACCACGTGCTTTACCAAGTTTTATGGCATCTATAACACGAGCATCAACATCAAGTAACCACTCACTCATAGATAATGCTTGATTTGCTGATATATGATGTTGTTTGAATAGAGGTTCTCCTTCTTTTTCATAATTTGTATCTATAGAAGAAAAAAACAAAAAATAATAAAAATTTATAAAACAAAGTGTTTGTCATATCACAGAAAGTCTTCTCATAGTCGTCTAAAACAAAAAAAAGACAATATCAACTAACACATAAATATCTTTTTTTTTCGTTTTTCTTACCTTCAATAAGCGCCGATTGAGAATCAGCCTCTGTTTAAAAAAGGAGAAACGTTAAAAATATCTTCTTTGTATATATTTTATTCCTATTGCATGTAACTTACTTCGAGTAGCTAAAAATAAAAGAAAATGTTTGAATAGAGAAAAAATTTTGAAAGATATTACTTACGGGCAACATAAACCGGACAACAACCACGATGTAAATGCATGTGTCGAGCTGTTTTTAAAGATCGTGTTACGGCCATAATAACTGCTCGAGGACGATACTGAGCAATAAGTTGAGCTGATCTGTAGCAGAAAAAAATGATTGAGTTAAAATCCATACAATTTATGAAACGTTCTGTCCAAGAAAAGAAAGAACGGAGAATTCAATTAGATGGGCGTTAATAGTAAGGCTTTCTATTAAAATAAATGATATTTTTGAAATCAGCATACAAAACTGAGTCGATTCATGTCTGTTACAAAATGATCTATCAACTTTCAATTTCCTAGCAAAATGCAGTCATTTGTCCTTGAGGGATATGACAAAAAATAAAATTAGTCGAGACGTCAGTCTAACGATGTGAGTAGAGTCGGAAAATTTCAGA